TTTCCATTTGCCAACACTTTTGTGAGTCTATTATTATTTATACATTTAATTGCATTCCTTCTCACTTTTCATATGAATTTCATTTGAAGAAGAAATTATTGCACTAATAATATACTCAATCATTATTGCTATATTAATTATAGTCATAGTGATGAATAATTTATTTACATTACTTATTCTTTATTACAATAGTTACAAAATATGAATGAAATTAATTTCATACGAATTTTATTTAATTGGTAAAAACCACAATTACACATATTTCCTTAAGGGCTTACAGTGTGAGCCTTACACACTAATACTGTATTAGTAATACAGCATAAATTAATTTAATGATAGATTTGAAGAAAATATTTATTAAAATAAAATCTTACAAATAGATATACTGCACTCATTTCAATGTAAGGAAGTCTCTATTCAATAGCCTTGTGAATCACAAGTTGTGATCTTAAAAATTTAAAACTTTGTCCCTGAAAATTATAAAAATTATAAAATCATTGATTGTAATTGTTTTGAATACTTTCTTATTGACAATTTATAGGAATTTATTATAATCTAAAAATAATTATTTGAATATTTAATTTAATAAAAAATATATACTGCTATTTAAAATAGACACAAAAAGACTTATTTATTGATAAAAATAGCAGTAATTCACGACTGATTTGCATTGTCCACAAATAGGGAGTTCTGTGCGGACTGTTTGCCGGAGAATTTTTTGGGGTATGGGTTTTGATCGGTTCGCTCATAAATCCTAAACAACAGCCATTTATGGAGACTTCCATAGAGGATTGTCCAGCACATATGTTGGTCAACTTTACCCGAACCACCAGTTCTACCATTGAGTCGGAAGGCATACTGAGTCTGTATCACATCGCATATCTATTAGTTCCTGTCTTTGGTTTTGCAATTAGTCTTTCGATCGGCGCTATAATGAGTCTACTCTCAGGTCATTAGACAACTCTGTAATACTATTTATAGTTTATTTTAATAAGTATTGTTAAACCAATAAATTAGGCGGATATTCAACGGCATCGGAAGTGAA